CAGTCGTATCCAACTCTTTGTGACCCGACTTGGGGTTTTCTTGGCAGAGATATTGGAGTAGTTTGCCATTTCCTTCTCCAGCTCATTTGACAGATGAGGAAACTGAGGCAAACAGGGTGAAGTGACTTGCCCAGGAAATTCTAAATGGGATTTTAGATGAACTGTGTGAATTGCAGTTGGCATATTAATTGAAAAGGTTTTTGAATGACTGACCAATTAACAATTCCAGAGGACAGATGCTGAAGCTTGCCACTACCCACCTTCTCACAGAAATAAGGGGATGGACTCAAGCTGCAGAATGACACAGCCAACTTAGAAATCTGTTTTGACTATGCCTATTTGTAACAAAGGTTATGTTTTTCTTTTTTCTTAATGGGGGGGGAGCTAGAGAGAGGGTTGCTAATATGAAAAAGACAAAAGAAGGTCATTGAAACACATACCTGAAACGCCAAGGAGAGAAGGAAGGCCAGAAGGAATCACCAATAGGATATCTTTGCAAGTAATGTGTTGAATTTATTATATATTTAAGAAAAAATGCAAGCTGTCCATAACAGACCTGCCGTTTCACATGCAACCCCCTTTCTGCTAAACCACGGACACAGAAATATTTATTCTAGTTGATGTTTGTTGAGTTTAGAATATTTTAAAATTAGAAAAAAAAATCAAATTTCTTTCCTTCCTCCTCTGACCATCTCAATCCTACACATTTTAACATCCAGCTCAAGTGCTGTCACCTCCACTCCAGGCCTCAGTCTCCCCTTTCAGTGAACTTATTGTCCCTCACACTAACCCTTTATCGTATACTTTCTTGTAGTTATTTCTACCTAATTTCCACGTGCATTTTGTGTCCTGTAGCATACTTTAAGATCATGGAACAGCAGGGAGCATCCATAGTATTGTATTTTTGTCGTTTTGTAGACACTCAAAAGTTTTTCGATTAAAAAAACCAAGTCCAATTCACAAATCCCACTCAAAACCCCATTAGGAATTGCTGACTAGAGAAATATTAGTTAATTCTCAATAACCTCTGCTAACAGAGAGGACAGAAATGGCACCAATAAACCAAAAATCTGGGGGACATAATTATTTGTATTTAAAAGGCTTTTCCAAGTAGCTAAGGAGAAGGTGGGCTTGAAAACTCAAAATGAAGGTAAAGTCACTCGAATATCTGAAAACAAAATAGTGTAACCTGTATTTCCTCTAACAGCCCCTTGCTGAATGCTTTAAAATTTGTCACTGATAACTGCCCTTCCTGGATAATTGTAAGTGGATGGCTGTTTGCTAAATATGATAATTTTATAAATATCTTATTTTTACATCACTAATACTTCCCATTGTATCCATCCCCTAATCCTTCCCAGAGATCAGTCCCTTAAAATAAAGAATAAAAAGAGAGGGGCAAAGAGCTATCAAAACTAATCAACATATCAAAAGTCTGACACTTCATACGCAGTGTTCTACATCCATAGTCCCCCTGCCCCGGCAAAGGAACAGGGAGAGTTATCTTCTCAAATATGATCCTCTTAAAAAATTAAATATTAGACTCATTTTACAATGTTCAATTTCTTTAAAACCAACCTCCTTATTCTGCTCAAAAGTGGTTTTTATTTTCTTCTGAGTGAATATTTTAGCAATCAACATCAACATACAAAGCATTACAATTTTGCTACCAGGCTAAACGTCAGCCGACATGTGCCTACACGATCACGTATCTTGCGTGCTGCCAATTATTCATACACAAAAAGATCCAAGACTAGCAGTCTACCACACAAAGCGAGGCGAGCCGCTTTCTGGCAGACAGAAGGACGCACAGCCAGGACTTGCTTTGTGTTAAGGGGACCACTCTGAGGACCTTCCCCTCCCCTCACAGGGCTCCACACGGCCCCCGCTTGTAGCCCCCAAAACCAGGAAGCAAGAGGGGCTTCAGTGCCTGCAGCCCTCTGCTGCTGCCCCTAACCGTCCATCCTTAAAGGTACACGAAATCTAGCAAGCATTCACAGTGAGCTTACTTCTCCAACTAGCATGACATGCTTGCCTTGAAAAGGAAGAAATCATCTTCCCATCACACACCAATTGAAGGGTCTACAAACAGAAAGTGACACGTTTTCATAAATGAGCAGACCACAGGGTGAATTAAGGACCAAAAAAACAACTTCAGTTTCCTCCTGGGGACAAGCAGATCTCTGTGATCTTGAGAATCTGTTCTCAACCGATCCTTTGAAGTCCTCCCAAATGGCAGAAGAAACCTCAAGTCTACTTCTTTCCAATTCAATCTTTAACTCCAACATCAGCTATGCACTGAGAAATCTTTAGACTGTTCTGAATAATCATAATAGAAGCCCAGGTCTCTTTATAGATGTTGTCTACGTGGACAAGCACCTCCTTTCAGTAAGGAGGGACGCAGATTGCATTGTGATTTGGGAGTGGAAAAGGTGACATTATCATCCAGAGTCTCCAGGAAAAGACCAGAAAGGAGCACGGTAGAATGTAAAGAACACTGGATTTGGGGCCAGAAAACAGAGGTTTTGAATCCCATCCTCATCTGTAAAATTAGGCAATCAAGAATGACTTTAGGCCCCTTTCAATGTGAAGTATTAAGACGCCATGAAAAGGAAAAGAACTTTGTATTCTCACAGTACAGACCATATGAACAACCAGAGGAGATATCTCAGAAAAAAACCATCATTTCTGGAGATAATCAAGAACCAGCTAGGTACGTCATCTAAACAGTATTAAGAACAATACTCATCACATTCATTTCTTCAGACCTAGGACCCACAGACGGCTCCAAGCGTTGTTACTGTTCAGTCACTTCAGTCGTGTGTGACTTCCCACGACCCCTTTTAGGGTTTTCTTGGCCAAGGTCCTGGAGCGGTTTGCCATTTCCTTCTCCAGCTCATTTGACAGATGAGGAAATTGAGGCAAAGAGAATGAAGTGACTTGCCCAGGGTCACACAGCTAGGAAGTGTCTGAGGCCGGATTTGAACTCAGGAAATAAGCCTTCCTGTCTTCAGGCACAGTGCTCTACCCACTGGGCCACCTGGCTGCCCCGCTTCTCCCAGCACTTTGTGGCAGGCACCACAGAATGAACCCACACAGATGTTGCGGGCTCAGAGGGATGGGGAGGGGCCAGTAAGGCACTGGTTTTTAGCTACGTGACTCAGAGCCACATTGGTGCATAGCAACCAGCAAAGCCCAGCTAACTGCATTATGCCCTGAAGAGGGTAATACAGCAAATACTGAAGCAAGAGCTGTCACCAACTCGAATGCAAAAACAAACCCTAATCAGGGTTGAGTTCTCTTGGTTCACTCATCCTTGCTTCCTTCCTATCCCCAACGAAAATCACAAGCAAATCGAACTCTTCTGGGTTATGTGGTCACACTCGGCACGTGAACCTAGAAGCAGATCTTGATTTCTAAAGAGAGTTCTTCTTATTAACAACACCTAATTTCTGAGTTGAGAAGCCAGAATATCTTGGCCCCGTTCGTGAGCGGACATCCCAGTTACCACTCTCTTCTACTATTCCGCCCTTTCCTGGCACATACAAAGCAGTGGCAAAGCCCAGAAAAGGGGTGCCAAAGGGCAACAGTGAGGACTGGCACACAACTCCTTGCCCACCCTTCTCCCTCCCCCTGACACACACACTCACGAATGACTGGGAGATAACTGGAAAAACGTAGTCTTCACCTCTACAATTCTAGGTCAGATTTCCCCTCCAGTTTCCAAGTTTGTCAGTCACCATTACTGTGGTAGCAGATCGAGTCAGGCAGAAGACTCTTGAGAAGGGCTTACCCTAATGTCAGCTTAGATAAACCTGCCCCTACCCCCACAGCACAGCATATGCAAGACCAAAAAAAAAAAAATTAAATAGAGATTCTTAAACTGGAGTCTGTGGAGAGATTTGAAGGGGTCCACGAGCGTAGGTGGGGGAAAAATATTTTACACTTTTATTTTCCCTAACTTCTAAGGGAAATTTAGCATTTCTTTCAATTATGAATTTTTAAAAAATACTATTCTAAGAGGTCCATAAGTTTCACCAGACTGCAAGAAGTCTAAGCCACAAAAAAAGTTAAGAATCCCCAATTTAAAACATTCTGACCCATAAAGTGACACCTTACCTACTAAGTGTTCTTTTGCAAAATTAAGAAAGGAAAACTTAAAGGTATTAGGAAAACCAAAAGTGAAATCCAAGAACATTCTCCCAAAAATGACAGAAGCAAACAAAGCACCACTATGAAAAATTATCAAAAACCTCTCAAGTTTTCATAGGAACCATCTCCACCGGGCCACCGTAATTCTTCGACTTTGGTGCTCCTGTGCTAGGCCTTTTTCTGTTTTCAAGTTCTTACTCTATTGTGGAAACTGTGGTTCCACATAGAGAGAGATCTTCAGGTGCATAAAGCAACTACTGTAATACACACTTTACTAAAGCCTGAGACTGCCGAGTACCACCACTTGATCTAATGCAACAGGCTTCTATATGCCACTTACTATGTGCAAAGGTCACACAGGAAAACACCAAAAAGGGAAATTATTTTGCTGACATAACCACACTAAAGGATTCATGCCAAAATTCATATACATTTGAAGTTTGTAAAAATCATATTTTGGTGATATTTTCACTTGGTAATTAAAAAAAAAGAAAGAATTACAGGTATAGAAAAGAAGCACAGACACAAATGTTAGAATTTTTTTAATGATACTTTCTACAGATCATGCGTAGCTGGAGTTTTAGAGAAATTTTAGAAGCTGGAATGACGCTTGGTGTATCTTCACTGAACATGCTGGTGCAAATATCAAGCAGCTAAAAAGGACCAGAGCGGCAGGCCTGGAGTCAGAAAGGCCAGAGTTCCAATCCAGCCTGAGACACTTCCCAGCTGTGTGACTTTGGGCAAATCACTTAGCCTTGGTTTGCCTCCGTTTTCTCATCTATAAAATGGGGATACTAATTGCACCTATCTCCCAGGGTTGTTGTGAAGATCAAAGGAGATAATATTTATAAAGTGATTAGCACAGTAGCTGGTACACACAGTAAGCTCTATATAAATGCTAGTTATTTTTGTAATTATCCCTAATATGATCAATGGCATATTATTACATAGCCCTGTTTTCAGGTGAGCGAGTTCTCAATGCCACAGCCACTACAAGACTTTAAAAACAACTGTTTTTCAGTAATGTCCAAACCTCCTTGCAAAGACAGGTCCCTGATGGCAAAGTATCACGTGGGAAGTACCCACCCGGCACACGGTCCTCCATGGTGATACCAAACCTGCAGAATCAAAGGAAACTAATGCTACACATGCTGGTTTTCCCAGCAGTCAAGTCCAAAGACAACTCACGTTTAAAAACAGATTCTACAATAGTGCCCTCCCAATAAGAAATGGTCTATAGGTAGCACAGGTTAAAAGCAAGAGAAGAGGAGCAGCTAGGTGGTGCAGTGGATAGAGCACCGGCCCTAGATTCAGGAGGTCCTGAGTTCAAATCTGGCCTCAGACACGTAACACTTACTAGGCTGGGTGACCCTGGGCAAGTCACTTAACTCCATTGCCTAGACCAAAAAAAAAAAAAAAGCAGGAGAGGAGGAAACAAATTAATAAGCAAGGAAATCATTTCTAACAATGTAGCTTTTTCTTTATTTTTTCATCAAAGTGACAAACATATCAGCAAAGCTCACCAAGAGCCTGCTTTTGTTCTGCGCCACATTTCTCAGGTACAGATATTAACAAAAAAAAGGTTAAGGACAAGTTTTTCCTCCACTCTCTTCCTTCCCACCCCAGACTTAGGGGCACTCAGAAGAAGCCAAAGGAAACTGTAGGAAGATGAGATCCTTTTTCACCACCACTGACCTTTCCTGTATCCCTCATGGGTATGTGAACACAGAGCTAATTTATAGAAACTCATCACCAACCTTTTGGCTCTTTGCACTGGGCAGGCAGCCTGCAAAGAGCAGACAACTTGTTTCTGGAAGCAAATCTGAAGCCTTACCAGCAGGGTAGAATCAGGCAAAACTTTCACTCCCCAGACGCACAGGCTGTGAGAAACCAAGGACTTGCCTCAAAAGTGGGACATGTTTGTCTATACAAATGGGAAAGTTCATACCAGATGGTCTCAATTTTTGATAAATATATACAATATTAAATGGTATATTACTATATAATACAAGTAGTAACTCTCTAAAAAGTAGCTGTACACTTCCTAGATACTTTTAAAGTCTGTGTGAACATTAAAGTGCTATAAGTTTGAGTTATTATTATCTCTCTTTGATATAAAGATAGGGGAACACAGAAGGAACCAGGCATTTCTAGCTCCCAAAGAGATGTGTCACTACTCCATTCTGTTAGAAAATAGTCTAGCCTGCTCTCCCCTAACTCCCAACACAACCCCATCCCCAAGAATATTTCTTAAGAAGGCTTAGGAAGGGAGTCATGAGTTTGCATGGGCATGTTTGTTGAACAGGTCTTAACTGTCAATATTTAAGTTTGTGACCATTTGGAAATAAAATACAAAAATCTCTGTGTAACTCTAACAAACATATTTCAGAAAAGCCACAAGAAGTAGTGGCAGAAATATGCACCTGACATTGGCACAGTTTCTCTTTTCCCTCCAAACAGCTCCAAGTTCTCAATTTTCACTACAAGATGACAACATGGAGAAATCTGCCAATGTGTCGCTGCACAAATCATGTACATTTATAACAATGGTATCTTTCTGGGCATAGTAGCCTGAAAAGCATTAAGTCATAGGTAAAGAGAAACTTTTACCAATTCCACATTTGTCCCAAATAAAGGCAGTGATTAATGTGGAACCTAAAACCTTCAGGGAAAAAAAAAATGAGCCCCTCATTTTTTACAGAGGATAAGAAATGATTTGCACTTATTCTGATAAAACGTCCTAGACTGTCAGACCTTAGAAATTCTAATTAAAGAACAATACTCACCCCCATAAAACCATGACTAAGTGTTTATTCCTCTGCCTTAGAGGAACACCACATTTTATGGTCACCCTTATCACATCCGAACTCACAGAACACCAAAAGCATAAAGTTAACCATGTATCGTAGGCATCTTCTTCCTCACTTTCTATGTAAGGAAAACCAAAGAAGTTAGGCCAGCTACCCAGAGCTAGCCTGGGGCAAAGCAGGAGCACAGAGGGAGAGCTCAGTGTCTAGGCCAGGGTTTTTTCCACTCCACTCCACTGACAAAATATCCATATAAGAGACTGCTCTGTATTTACCTACTTCATTGGGCAAGTTCAAGGAACGTAAAACACTCTGCCCAAATCTCTCTCCCAATAATGCTATCAGTTTGGAATCTCAAGAAAATTCAGCATCTTTGTCACTAATCAGGGCCAAATGACCCAAATTCCATTCCATTCCAATCTATTCTCAATCTAGTTTATTTCTGGGCCTCCTCATCACCAGTTTTATGAAGTATCATTTAGTTGTCATAGTAAAGTCACCATGTTATTTCAAGTGCCTCCAAACACAGGCAAAAGATGTAATCTGAACCAAAACATAACCACCCCAAACTGAAAAACCCACTGGCCCTAAGATATCCTTTGGTCAATGGGAAGTTTTCAATCTAGGCACAAGGCAGGGCTCTCACTCACTAGTCCCTACCTGCCCTAGATGGCAGAGCCCCAGCATCTAAAGGGGTACCTGCCAAAGCCTCAAGGGATGGAGATGTGGAAGAATTCTCCCAAAGGCACCTGACCAATGCAGCTACGGGTGCTCACACAAGTTAGCTCTTGAGGGGCCAAAGCTCAGCTTACAAGGGGAAAGGTTGGAAAGGTGCCTACAGGATGGGGGGGGGAGTGGGAGAATAGTGGGGGACAAAAATAGTCAGGGTTGTATTAGAGACCATTCCTACGGGTGGCTGTTCCTGGAAAAGCAGGATGTGACCCATCTTCCCACTGTCCAACTGGATTAATGGATCATAGAGCTAGAAAGGTCTTCAGGGCATCTAGGCACATCCCCTCATTCTACCGATGAGGTTGATCACATACCCCTAAGGGTCAGGCCAAGGTCTCCATTTTGCCCACCACTGCCTTAGTATACTGTACTCAGTGAATTGCTATGGCCAAAAAAGGTCCCCTGGCAGCCAAACCTACCCCACAATCCCACAAAATCATTCAATTGCTAATCCAACCACCCTGAAGATATATTCTAAGATTCTGCTTTTTAATTATGCAAACACCATTTCCTTCAACAACCAAAGAATGGTCCCCAAAGAGGGAAAGAAATCACTGCCAGAAAAAAAAAAATCTAATGGTATATATACAACATACATTCCCAACCCAGGACATTAGCAGCTACCCTGAATTTCGCAGGATTTTTGGTAAGCCACTGAAATCAGGAAATTTAGAGTCAATACCAGTCTAGAGTTCTCATACCGGGTAAGGCCATGCCAGCTGATGCTCTGTCCACAGAGATTTAAGTCAGACTACATCACAAGCCTCTGAAGAGAAATAGATCCTGCCCACTCCCAACAAGGGATTTCTCGACTAGCTTTGTTTTCTTATTTTTCCTTCTATAATCCTCTCAATTTCACAAAGAATGTTCAACTTACACTTCTGCAGATAAGGTAAGAAAAAAAAATCACACAACCAAATTTCCCATAGTCCTTTATATATTTATTAACAGAGAAATGATGTATTTAATGTTAATAAGCATCACTAGCCTGAAATACAAGGCCAGGGCAACAATATACATCCCCAATATTTACCAATTTACTTTTCCACTGCCTCATTTAAGGCCAATAATTCATGTAATTTAAATGGCTTCTTTAACTAGGACACAGGATCTTAAGATGAATGAAATTTTACATATTATCAAGTCCAATCCTCTTACTTTACAGGGGGAAACTAAGGTTAAATGAGGCTATCCAAGTTCCCATATCCAGTTGGAGAAAACTAATCATATACATATGTATACATACAAATGCATATATTACATATATGTACGTATACACATACACATATCTATTACATAATCCAGTCATCCTTAGCAAGAATTTAAACGTTATTTTCTCAATTTTTCATTTCCAAGACTTCCTAGGTATTATGTGAATCTTCAATGAAATAATACTTAAAGAAACAGACATCACAGTAAGAAAAAAGGGAATCCAAATCAACACACCTGGACATCATAGAGAGCCACAATATTTTCATGCTGAAGTTCCTATAAAACAAATTCAATCATAAAAATATTTCTTTTAACAAAAGTTAAATGAAAATGAGACCAACAGATTAAAGCAAAGCATAACTTTTCTATATTAATTATTACCACATTACAAATAGGCAAATAAAACACAGATTTGTCTGATAAGCCTTCTTCTGGGAAAATATAAGGACTCAATTTCTTCTACTACCTGCATTTTAATTAAATATAAAAAGAACTCTTGTAAGGTAAAAATAATTGATTCAACCCTAAAAAACAGACTGATGTGGCTGAAAGGGCCACAGATAGCATAGCTGACTACCTAAAAGCAATGTACAATTTCTAAACAGCAACAGAATCACTGATAAAATTTAAAAAGTACTTTATAAAATCCATTATCTGCCTGAGAGGTGACAGCTAATTAGCCTAAGGAAACATTTCATTTCTGGAGTGAACATGAAAGGCCACACATCCAAGGAACACAACTTAATAGAAAAATTCCTCAATTGAGCAGAGATGGAGCTAAAAGCAGAATCTGTATTGTGGTGGCCAACTGAAAATACAAAAACTGTACAAGATAAAGACAGTGCCTCCTCCTCCATTGGGAAGTATGTACTTTCTCAATAACATCACTGGGAAAAAAGAACAAACCTCAGAAGTCAGATTTAATATATTACCAGTTTCCACTGACTTCTAAATCTAATGAAAGAAAACAAGAAATGTTATCTAGTCATAAATCAATTTAGTCTCCTAAAATATTTTAGAGTATCAAGTATTCCAAAGAACTGAGGTCCCTCCTATCAGAGCAATAGTGAATGCTTCCTGGCTGCCTTCCCACAATTCTAGGCCTCTGCCTGTCAAGGCTGCTAAGGATCATTCGTGAACATAGTGTGAAGGGATACAAAGTAAGAAGACATATCCACATACCTTTAAGATCTTAATTTCCTTTCCAAGAAGTATTTGTGATTTTGACAAATTTTTTTTATTAATGCTTTTTATCGCTACTTCCCAATCAGTTTTCTGAAAAGGAAAAAACAAAGATTTCACTAGATTAGCACTGAAATAAATTCAAATTTTAGCACACCCCTGCGTGCTAATCTAGGACTCTTGGCAAAAAAGAATGGCCAAACCTTTCACAATTATTTCTACTCTTGACATGCCTTTACATTAAACAGATTCTGAAACCTGACACAACTGCTTTTCAAAAGCACAAGACTTCTAAGCTGACAAAAAAAAAGAAACAAAAAAGTCTTGAGCATACTCATTTGCTTTTTTTTAAAGTCCATGGTTAAATCATTTTTTCCACTCATACTCTATAATACCCAAAGGGGGGTGTTGCTATGTTTGTCTGGGGTACATACGAAATAATGCTGGGAAACGTGACACTTGAGTTTTGGGAAACCTCAGCCAATGGGAGGGCAGCCAATTTTCCATTGGGTCTACAATTATCAACATTAATATGACAAACACTGGAACTACTGGACTCCCCAAAGACCACAAGGCCCCTAGCCTCATCGTTGCTTAAAACGTCTGAGATGGATAGTATTTGGGAGTCTTGGGAAAAACAAGATAAAGCTTTTCTCACGTTATAAACAAACTATATATTTAACTTGAAGCAAGAAAAACACTACATGGTTGTCGGTAGATGGAGCTCTGCCTGTCGAATATGGTTTAGGCCCTCAAAACAATCTTGACAATACAAACAAACCGAGGGGAAAAAAAACTGCAGACAGCTGTAGACTAATAGGCCTTCCATACAGCTAAGTCTAATATGTTTGAAAAGGACTGATTTCCTTCCAGTAACGAACACAGACCCCTCTGCTTTTGCTTACACGTACGAAGTTACCAAAAAAAAAAAAAGAAAAGAAAAGAAAAGGCCTGATCTGATTTTAAAATGTTTCACAGTTACACTGTTTCCTATAGAGCTGGGTTTTGGGTTTTGTTTTTTTTAAATTGATGGCGTAAAGGCAACCTTAATGCACTAACTGGTAACAGCACCTTATCCATTAAAATGTAAAAGTTAGAGAAATGTATCCTAGAGGCTGCAATCCCCCAGTTCCTAAAGGAAGTCAGGTTTTATTGGCCTTTGTTTTTTGTTTTCTTTGTTTTTGTTTTGTTTTTAAGGAAGGAAGGAAGGAAGCAGTAAGAAGGTCAAGTCCAGTGGGGTTGATAAGGGAAGGGGGTCAGAAACTTGTTGGCAGCCGCAAATCTATTCCTTTGCGGCTTGGGTAGGAGCAGGGTGGAATCTGGGCAAGCTCGTGGAGGGGAGATGGAGGGGGAAGGGGGACCAGGGACACATTGGTGTGGTCAATCCTAGGGGATGGAGAAGGGAGAGGGGGCGAAGAAAGGATAGAGGGGATGAGAAAGATGGAAGGGGGGGATAGAGGGAACGGAGGGAGAATGGGGGGAGGTGAAACCAGAGACACTAGCACTGTCAATCATGGGGGATGGAGAGTGACAAGCGATGGAAGGGAGATGGGAGGGGGGACCGGGGCACGCCGGCGCTGTCGTCCTGGGGCGCTCGGGCCTCCCACTCGGCACCCGCGGCATCTCGAGACAACCCACAACAACAAGAAGGCAGCACGTCAGTGGGTGTGTTGGAGAAAGGCTGGGAGCAGCTGAGTCGCCCCCACATACGCCCCCTCCCACCTTCACAAGTTGGCTTTGAGATGACAAGCTGGGGAAGGGGCTCTGGGGACCGGGTCAGAGATGGTGATGCTGGGGGAGGGGAGAGGGGTAGGCACAGCTGCTGCCGGGATCGCTCCCAGCCCCCGCCTTGGGGAGGGGTCGCGCAGCAGCTACCTTGCGATGCCGGCCTTTGAA